CTGTCTCTAATATTTCGGTCTCTTTGTTGACACTCCGAAGTACCACTGTATTTGTAATTTTTTCTGTTCAGCTTATTTTGAGCATACGCTGGACGTGCAGTGGCCCGCTACATGTTGTTAATCTACTACTATTATGCAAACTTTCTTTTGGTATACTGATAAAACTACATTATATTTTTATGGTATACCAAATATATGAATTAAAATTTTTTCTAATTTGATTAAAACTGAAATTTGCAATTTCAACCGTATTTTTTTTTATCAGAAACAACTATGAACGTTTGATTTTGTTTTTGTGACCCTCTCAACTGTACAGTGATTGGTATTGGCCCGCGATCGCATCTGATCTGAACTGCCCTGATTTAAATGATAGTATTTAATTATATTTGTTAGTTATTTCTATCAAAACCTGACAGCTATTAAAAAGTAATAGAATACAAATTCCCTAAATAGTAAACACCAGTCAAAATCCTAATTTCGCGTTCATAAGTGTTTGGGTCAACAGTTCAAAACTCCGTCTTAAAGTGCAATATTTTCCTTTGATAGACTTAGAATCTACTTAGATCAGTTTGCTTCTTATAATATTGCAGGTTATTCTATATAGGTTTCGATCTTGGTTCCACCTAAAAATATTTACGTGTAATATTTAAAAATTAATATTAGAAAGTTTTAATATTTGGCAAAATTTTTTTGCAATGTTAATGACTCTCGTCAAAAACAATTACAACAGATATTATCTGTGTAATTATTATCTGGCAAACGCCATTTTTGTTTTCATTTGAACTTAGTGACCAAAGCATTTAAAAATATTCTATAAAAAAATTTATTGTCTAAATAGTTTGTTTCAAAGTTGTTTCAAATTTATTTCCTGATTAAATATCAATTTCTTAAAGGAGATTCAAGAATATGGAGATAACAACACAGATGGCTCGCATAATCTGCAGTACAAAAGACAAAAATGGTAACCTTTACTTTTATGCAATTTTTTTATTTTTTATTATATTGCAATATATTTTTCAAAAAACGCCATTTCTTGTTAAAGCTAAACTTAGAAAAAATCCTATACTAGCGACACAAAAAACTTGTTCCAAACAGCGAATGAATGCAACCAATTATAAATCTACAATCTGGGATGCGCAGAGCGGTCCCAAATCGGATTCAGGTAAGGATTCACTGTTGTTAATTATTATATGATAAGTATTAACTTTTAAAAATTTACAACACACCTAAGGCTCAAGATGTAGGGAAAAAGTAACCGCTGATCTTAAACGATTTCAATATAATTTAGAAGAAAAAAATAAATTCTTGAAATCTACAAAGACAAATATTGAGACGTCCACTGCTAAGGCACCTATACCAAAGCACACAGATTGTTTGCCAAAGCACACAGCTTATAAGGTTTATGCACCTAAAGCATTAGAACGTTTGAGATATGACAGAGTAAATCAGCCTGCACCAAAAACTAAAATAAACCCAGTCAAAATGGATGAAAAACTTTCGTGCTTACAAACAAAAGCAGTCCGTAGCACAATTCCCCTGAAAAATGTTCCTAAAAATGATGCAAAAAATAATATCAAGCAAAGGTCACCTGCAGACACTCGGCTTACTCAAAAAGTACCTGCTGAAATTGGGAAAAAGGGTTTTGCCAATATAATTTGTGGCGGAACACAACAAACTAATAAGTCCACAAAACTTAAGATTGAACAAAGCCCTCCAGATCCATACTTGAAGCATGGAATTTGTAGATGTCAATGTTCGAAAAAAAATATTGCAACCACAAGTCAAAATGGTGGAACCAAAAGTCAAGATGGCATGGAACAACCTCGTCGACCTGTAGTTACTCCAAATGTTATCAGTGATTGCAAAGAGGTAGTTGCTGAAGCTAAGAACACGAATGCAAATGTGATCAAACCACATTTAAAAAATGGTGGGTTGACTTACAGAATAGAAAAAGATTGCAGTTCTAATTTAAACATCCCATCCATCAACATTGAAGAACCAATCCATAATGCAGAGCTAAGTAAGAAAAAGTGCCAAAAGATCTCAGAAAACGTAGACAAGAATAAATCTCAATTAATAAAAAATCGTTTAATACGGAAATCTGAAAATGGCAATTGTTCCGGGATTAAAAGGGTTGAAGCAAACCTCTGGAAAAGCAGCAACCACTAATAATAAATTATTTATTTGCGTTACATGTAAAATTCACAATTTTACATAATTTATTTATCATAAAGTATTTAAGTTTGATTGAATATTGACCTTCCGCGAAAATAAATCACCACATGGAACGGAACCAAAAACATCGATATTTATTTTTGATAAAATTCAATAAAATGCTTTTTAATTGTTTTTTAAATTTTTTTTTACATTTTAATCACTAAAAGAAACCAATGGTCATAAGAATGACCCTGAATCTTCCTTCTGCAACTATTAAGTAGAGTAATTACAGAAAACTCTTATGGCTTCATGGTAGCAAAGGACAAGTATTTTGTAGATCCAGTCTAAAGTTCGAATATTTAAAGCATACTTAGCCCGACATTAGGTTCTTCTATAGACGTCATATCCTTACCTATTCATATTAATAGCAGATATTTTTTATGTAGTACTATAGTATACCGGTATCTTCTGTTGATATCATATTTCTCTTGCCATTGCCAATATAAGCAGGATTTAGTGATTTACAAGAAGTCTCCAAAATCTTTAGATGTTTTGGGAGCTACAAAAAAACTAAACTATATATAATAGATCCAAGATTCTGTTATTTTGCACATATTAGGTTAGTTTTAAAAGTTGTCCGTGATGCAATAAAAATATATCCATGCAGTATATTCGTATATAAATAAATTTTTATAATATTATATAGTGTATTATATATAGTGAATATCATTATTGCTAACTCTGTTATATAATATTACATATATTACTGTTTTTAGAATGAGGTGGATATATAATTTGCTTATTTTATTTATTTAAAGAACATGACTAAACATTTAGAAGAAAAATATATATCCATCTGTTGTTATGTAAAGTACTGTTTAAATATTAATTGCCTGGCAACTCTGCCCTGTCATTATTCTATATTCCTTTTGTAATTATTATTCATTATTCATTTTTAGTATAGTTAATAAAGCGAAGTAAAGAACATGTTAAAAATACATCGGACCGTGTTTCACTTTTGCTAAAAATATATAATAGGTTATGGGCCCAGCACGCTTCCACTGCGAAGTAAAAAGCACGTGCACATAAAAAGTAGATTTAATACGTGTATAAAAATGTCGGGAACGGTGATTCGAGTTGAACCGCTTAACGCGGAAAACTACGATACATGGAAATTACAAATGAAAGCTATTCTCATAAAAAACGATTTATGGTCATATGTCGAAGGTACTGCGTCGTGTCCAACGGGCGAAGCGGCTGCAAAATGGATCAGCTTTGATCAGAAAGCGTGCGCTGATATAATGTTATCAGTAAGTGCATCAGAATTAAGATTAATTGCAGAATGCACAAATTCAAACGAAATGTGGATGAAACTACAAGCCACATATTCATCAAAAGGGCCTGCGCGCAAGGCGACGTTGCTGAAAAAGGTTGCACTTTCGCGCATGAAGGAGGGTGAAAAGGTTAGAGAGCACCTCAACGATTTTTTTGAAGCCGTGGCAAAATTAAAGGAAATTGACGTCACCATCGGGGATGAGCTTCTGGCCATACTGCTCCTATATAGCCTACCCGATTCGTTTAATACTTTCAGGTGCGCGTTAGAAACGCGCGACGAGCTGCCAAAGCCAGACATACTTCGAGTGAAAATATTAGAAGAAGCTGAATCGCAAAGGACAAAAGAAGACAGACATAGTGATGAAAACTCTCTATACATAAATCGAAATAAAAGCCGAAACGCAAAACAAAACAAACGATACAGTGATTCTAAACGAAACAAACAATGTTTTAATTGTGGCAAAATCGGACATTTTGCACGTGAATGTAAAAATAAAGCAAAAGCTGAAAATAACACGCAATTGAAAAATTCGGAAAAATCTGTAAACAATAATTTTAGCTATCATGTTGAAGATGCATTTATTAGCTCAATAAAAGAAAATTATTGGTGCCTAGATAGTGGATGTACTGCCCATTTAAGTGCAAACCGTGAATATTTTACAGACTTTCAAAAATCGAATAAAGTGCTTAACTTAGCAAACGACAACACAACAAATATAAACGGCGTCGGTAAAATGAAAATAACTGTAGACGTAGACGGTCGTGATAATAATATTGATCTTAAAGAAGTTCTATATGTCGAAGACTTGCGTACAAGTCTACTTTCTGTATCAAAAATAGTAGACAGCGGATATGAAGTGCATTTTCGCCCTTCAGATGCAATTGTATTGGACAAATATCAGAAGGTTATAACTCGAGCGAAAAGATGTGGAAATCTTTTTATTGTTGAAAATAAAAATCATTTTGCACAAGTTGCTGAAGAAAAATGTGACATTGAAAAGTGGCACCAGAAAATGGGCCACATAAATGAAAACGATCTTAAAAAATTGGCTAGTAATAACCTAGTACACGGATTAAAATTAAATCCTAAACAAAAACTTCCGACTTGCGAAATTTGTATTAGTGAAAAACAAACACAAAAGTCATTTCCGTAAAGAAACTAGAACAAGTGATTTATTAGAGATCGTGCATAGTGATGTGTGCGGACCAATGAGAACAGCATCAAATTCGGATGCAAAATATTTCGTAACATTTATTGATGACAAATCACGCTATTGTCATGTATATTTTATAAAACAAAAATCCGATGTATTAAATGTATTTAAGCAATACAAAAGAGCAGTAGAAACATTTACGGGTAAACGAATTAAGGCTTTACAATCAGACAATGGTAAAGAATACGTTAATTCTGAATTTAATTTATTCTTGAGGAAATTTGGTATACAAAGACGCTTAACTGCTCCATATACGCCGGAGCAAAATGGTATTGCTGAACGTAAAAACAGAACTCTAGTTGAAATGGCCCGTTGCATGATGAAACAAGCTGAAGTTCCGCCAAATTTTTGGGCAGAGGCCATAAATACAGCGTGCTATATTCGAAATAGGTGTCCTACAAAAGCATTGAACGGTGTAGTACCGCACAAGTTGTGGACTGGTAAAATGCCAACTATTGTACATTTTCAAGTATTTGGCTCTAAAGCATATGTCCTAAAAAAGGATAAGACTAGAGATAAATTCGATTCTAAGTCAGAACCTTACATGTTTGTTGGATATTCAAACGAAGCGAAAGCCTATCGCCTGTGGTCACCTACAAAACGAAATATAACAATAAGCCGTGATGTCGTGTTCGTAAACAAAAATATCTATCATAATAAATACGAAAACATTTATATTAACAATGAAAACGACTGCCAAACAAATGATTATATCGATATTGCGTTCGAAAATTGTGAAAATCAGAAACTGTCGGTCAATCCGAAAATTGTAGAAAATACAGATACGCGAGAAGAAAACTCCATTCGTAGAAGAGGTCGTCCGAGACTTATTCGCACAAATTCACGCGGTAGGCCTCGAAAAGAATATTACACGTCAAATCGGAATGGTGAAGAATCATCCAACGAAGACGAAAATACAAGTTCAATAAGAAAAATTGCTGATAAAAACCATTCAGATGATGAACCTGACAACAACGTTTTTGAAGATTGTGAAATGGCGTTTCTCACTACATATCAAACTCCAGTAACGATTTTGGAGGCACTTGAAAGCGATGAAACAAATTCCTGGTCAAAAGCGCTAGAAGACGAAATGGTGGCACAACTAAAGAATAAAACATGGGAAGTGGTCGAAAGACCGAAATCACGAAGAGTTATTGGGAATAGATTCGTGCTTCGAACTAAAGATGACGGAAAACAGAAAGTACGATTAGTAGCGAAGGGTTTTGCACAACGACCAGGTGAAGACTTTCATGATACGTTTTCTCCAGTCGCTCGTTCAACATCTATAAGACTACTTGCGGCACTGGCAGCAAAAATGGATTTGGAGATCCATCAGATGGATGTCATTACAGCATACCTAAATGGAGAGCTCGAAGAGAGTGTCTTCATGGAAATTCCCGATTATCTTATACCATTCCTGAACAAAGTTGTTTCATCAAAACCAGTGGGAAAAACTTCAACAATATTGTGTGGAAAAGTTAAAGAAACAGCGCAGCATTGGTTAAAGGCGATTAAGTCAAGTAAGTCACCTGTATGTTTATTAAAGAAAGCTCTTTATGGACTCCGTCAGTCTGGGCTATCATGGTACATGAAATTGACAAAGAAACTACAGAATATGGGTCTAAGTGCAGTACAACAGGATCCTTGTGTATTCACTAAGCGAGAAGGCAACGACATTGTTTTGATGACAATATATGTAGATGATTTACTAATAGCGTCCAATAATAAGTTTCGTATAAAAGAAATAAAGGCTGCACTTGCGAATGATTTCGAAATGAAGGATTTGGGAATAGTAAGTAATTGTCTTGGCATCGAGTTTCATCAAAATTTAAGCAAGCATCAAGTTTTTCTTTCACAAGAGAAGTATGCAAAAAGCATCATTGAAAAGTTCAATATGAAAGACTGTAAACCAGTGAAGACTCCCATAGAATTGAACATTAAATTAACGAAACCAACAAAAATTGATGAAGGTGTTATGAAGATGTATCCCTATCAAAGCTTGATAGGAGCATTAATGTACTTAGCTGTTACAACTCGACCTGATATTGCGTTTGCTGTAAACTTTCTTAGCCAGTTCAATTCAAATTATAACGTGGAACATTGGAAAGCAGCAAAACGAATTCTAAGATATCTTAAAGGTACAAGCAACTATGGTCTATTGTATGAGAAAAACAATGAAGAATTGTATGGTCTAGTTGACGCTGATTGGGGCGCTGACTTAAACGATAGACGTTCATATTCAGGGTATGCGTTCATTATATCAGGAGCAGCGATATGTTGGGAAGCTCGAAAGCAACGTACAGTAGCGCTTTCAAGCACTGAATCAGAATATATGGCCATATCTGAGGCCACAAAAGAAGCGTTATATCTAAAGGCAATCCTTGATGATGTTGGCATTACAAGTAAAACAATTGAAATCTTTAATGATAATCAAAGCGCTCAAAAATTAACGGAAAGCTTCAGGTATCATCCACGGACAAAGCACATTGATATTCGTTATCACTTTATTCGCAGCAAGGTTAACGACGGCACTGTTAAAATCAAATATATGCCAACAGAAGAAATGCCCGCAGACGTCCTTACCAAAGGACTCACTACAGAAAAGCATGTTAATTGCTTACGGAA